ATAAAGGAATATATCCTTTACAATTCCGTCAAACCTAAGTTCCTGTAGAAACCTTAGTTGCTTTGCTCTTCGTTTTATCTTCGTTTATTTATTTTTATTTATGTTAGATTTCATTTCATTTCAGAACGTTTTTGTTATTTATTTTAGTACCTTTTTATATTTTCTTTTATTTAGATAAATGAATTGTTTTTAGTATTAAGTAAATTAAAAATAAACAAAATTAACAAAAGATACAAAATGAAAGAAGAACAAAAATCGCATTTTTGGTTAATTTGGATTCAGGTTCGTAAAATTAAAATTATTGCACTTCTTTTATTTGCACTTCTTTTATTTGCACTTCTTTTATTTTTAAAATGTTTTCTTAGTAAGTACTATAATAAATACTATAATTGCTTAAATTATCTAAGATAGGGAAAAATTTAAATCCCTCAGTAAATAATTTCCTTAAACCACTCCGTAATAATCTAAATGACTTTAACATTTTTGTACAATCATGTATAGTACTATATTTAATGTTAATGTATTACGATTATTTTATGGGACAACATTGTATGGGATAACACCGTGCTCCTTCGCATGTGTCAGTGTCCTTCTTTACCTAGAAGAAGATTAAAAATCTTCGGATCCCCTTTTCCACGTTTATGGAAGTGTCGTTACCTTTTTTGACGTTGGCTGTATACCTATTTAAATCTATGTACGTGCCAATGCTATTCCTGTGGTATCAGAATGGGCCATCATATGAGCTCAATTGGGCTTTTTGGAAACAAGGCCACCACTCCAACCTCCCTTCCTACCTAAGTGTACCTCATTGAAGTATAGAGTCAAGTGTTGGTGGTCTTATATTCATATGCATGTAAAACTGCAACTTAAAGATGAGTTGATAAGCGCTTAGAAGAATCAGTTATTACATCCATTCGAAATCTACAGTTTCTTAACAGATTTCATGTATGATGAATATTACTTACTTGTAACATTACCATTATTATTTAGATATATATTATTTGATAAAGTTTAAGTCAGACTAGTCAGATCCACTAGGGATCGCCAGTGTAACCTAACCTAACCTATGATATGATAACCTATGATAGTAATACTATGATATTACTTAAATCTATAATTAATTAGCTTTCCGATATTAATTTCATGATAAAATGAAAATTTTAATTAAGCTTATTTTATTCCTTATATACAATTCAATGATATTTTTTAGTTTTTATTTGCGAATTCCTGTTTTTATTTTTGCATTCTTTTATATTTGAAAGAAATGAAAAGCGAAATATTCGAAAGAAATATTTAATTTTAAATAAACAAGAAAATAAAAATACAAGAAAAAAAATTTATTTATGGCAAAAACTTTTTAAATCATTTTTGTTTCTCCGAAGTCAAGTAAAATACGAATGCCATTAAATGTAAAAATAATAAGTCAAAAATTAACACAATCCAACAACTGTTTTTTAAAGATGTTCGAAAAATTTGTATGCAAATTACTTTAGAATACGAGTAAGTTTTTGCTTATTAAAGTATGACTCTCTTCTTCCCGATTCCATTGCAGAATTTTCAAAATGACTGGACGCGGCGTGCAATCCGACATAAATCTGCTTCACGCTTCGGTACTTTCGATGGTGGAATTCGATGATGATATTTTTGCAGCGGGGAATTGCTTTGATTGGAATGAACATCCCACACAGCCGGGATTATTTTGCCCATTCGCTTATCGATTGCCACCACCCAATTTGGGAGCGATACTCGCCAAGAACTTGGCTACGGAATATCATTATTTGGGAAACACATCGGAGTGGTTCTTTCAGGCGCGGAAAAATGCCGAAAAAGTTATTGCACGCAATGAGCAATATTTGAAAGGTAAGTGTGGTTTTGGCTGAACAGTTCCCTCCTATGGACGGTTCAATTTATTTTATATTTTCATTCATTTCAGTTTTGTTTTTTTGTAATTCAAAACAGAATTTTTTTATGCTTTCAATGATTCACAAAAAAAAGTTAAGATTTATAATGAAACTTTGGTGCCGGTAATAAATTAAAATTAAAAAGCTATTTCACTGCACAACTGTGGTCCTTAAAAAATATGCTTAGAATTCTTCATCTTGGATTTTATATATACTATATAAAGAGTATTTCATTATGAAATTATTCACAGTGTATAGAATTCCAATTAAAAGCTACGCTTTTATTATGAATTAATTATATCAGCATAAATATAAACGTTAAAAATTTTTAATGTTAAAATCTTTACACTTATAATTTTCATTAAGGAAAATATTTACAGTGAGGTTGAAACCTTTAAGTTTACCTCAAACTTATTATTAATAAACTTTTTATGTTTATTTAAGAAAATCAGGTTTTTAGTGTTGCATATTATCTTTCTCGAGTTTTGAGGTGAATTTAATAATTTTAAAAGGGTTTAAAGAATTCATTAACAACACATAAAATATTTAAATGAAATTCTATAAATTAAATTAACAGTGTTATAAGCTGTTAACATTATCTGCTCAAAATAACAAAAGGCTTATGTTGATATATGTTTATGTTTTCTAATGCGGCCCATAAACAAAAAAAATATAACATAAACGAAGTTCTAACTTTCAGTGGAGCAAAAAAACTGTGAATATACAACATGTGCTTCGAATAAAAGCCAGTCTCAACTATTGAGGATACCTGATACCTTAATATCAGGGATAGACAAGAACTTACATCTCCTATAGTCTCCCATAGTTTCCCACTGTCCCATATCAAAGCTGGAGAGACACAGAGCATATGACTAAAGAACTCATTTGCTAGAGTCGACATTGTGTATCATCTGACCCATCTGTAAAGTTAAGATTTTTATACCAGACAAGATGATATATCCAGTAATTTACCAACACAATGACAGTGCATAGCTTCTTTATAAAATTGCACCCAAGAAAGGCGTTTAACACACAATAACTAAAAATATGCATAACAGCTTTGAAATAAAAATAGGCAACCTCAAGAACTAACTTTCAATAAGGCAATAATTTAAAAAGGTGGACAAATGCTTTGGTTAATGTCATTTACAAATAAATTAAGAAAAAACTTGAGCATTGAAAGGTTATGCAGCCTTAACTGTTTGTGAAAGAACGCGATTAATCATCGTTTCTAATTTGGCAGGCACGAGTTCTAAGCCTGTCATTTGCAATCCAACAAGTTATATACGGACTATAAACCAATTAAATAGAAATTCGAATATTTCCTATGATCACTAATGATGAGTACTTGGCAATATGGTGTATTGTATGGCCAGCCAAACTTCAGTAAATTAATCAAATTTTGTTGTTGTTGGTTAATTACTGTTCGAACCCTTCTGA